TACTTATTTACACATGATATGATATTTTAAGTGGGCACAAAATCCATGCAGTGTTTGTAGTGCAGTGTATTAAATGGAATTCAGGAGCAGCAGTAATAATGTTGCAGTTATTTAGAAAGAAAAGGAATTTTCTATGAGGTTTTGTGGTCTAGAAATTCAGATTTTCTTGCAGTTTAACTAGTTGAAGACGAATCATTTACTGTTGTTTGCTCCCGTGTTGGCCCACAATCCACAGAGTTTAACCACCCCTTGCTTTAATAATGAAGAGAAAGCACTTAAGTTTTCTTTCTACTTCTTGCTCACGACACAAAGAATGCTTTGATTTTGTTTTTCCGTGCTAATGTTGGTAACGTGTTCCTCCTGGTGCCACATCTCGTGAAACCACAGAACGGTCACGGTCAGCTCTCACGCCGAACTCAAACCCTCTCCGTCTCTCGCTCTCTTCCTGGATCGAGGCTCATTAGCGACGACAACAGTGCCGTTGACCCCTTAGCCTCCCCCTTTGTCTCTCCTCCCTATCTCCCCTCTTTTTTTCCTCCTCTTCTCTCTCCCCATCTCCTCTCCTTTCTCTTCATCTCACTTGCCCCACTCTCTCCCTCATTGGCCCATCATCATTCACCCAGCAAGAGTTTGGCAGGGGCCTACGTGTGTGTGCGTGTGTGTGTGTGTGTGTGTGCGTGTGTGTGTGTGTGTGGGTGCGTTTGTGTGTGTCGCCAGGGGCCAGCCTGCGCCCGTGTACAGCAGAGGTCTTCGGCAAGGACAACACAGGGGACTCTGTCCTTGTCTAACCCCCTGAAAATAGCACAACGGTGTGTGCGTGTGTGTGTGTGTGCGCCTGTGTGTGTGATGTGTAAAGCTCTGTACAGTGTCCTGAGTATGAGCAATAGCTTGTAATAATAATAGCGCGGTCAGAGGTCCAGCAGGGCCAACAGGAACAAGCTACGCAGAGCTTATAAAAGCCCAATAAAAGCCTCCTGCTGGTCACCTTATGTTAGAGACACAGTAAAGGATTATCACAGGGATCCACACCAAACACACTGTCACCATTCATCTGACGACTCAGCCATAACCTTATAATATGATAAATGCAGCACAAATATGGACGACGCCACTGTCCTTCAAGTGCACATTGAAGTGAAACCTCAGTGGCAGAAAGCAGAAGCCGTTTAAACTGAGTCATGCAGCGGATGATGGAAGCATGAAGGCCCTGATCATATGACATTCATGGTTTTAACGACGGGACATCTAAAGTTTCTCTTTTTTTGTGACACAACATAATTGCTTAAATTAAGGTATCAAACAAAGTATTATCTTCTGGCTTTGTAAAACCGAGTCACAGGTCAAGTAAAAGTACCGTATTAATAATTCTGTTTAGTTCAAGAGTGGTTTGGGACCAGACGGGATCAGTTCCCCCTTAAAGCTAGGGTGGCTAACGTGTTCTTAGGATTCTTTATTTCTTTAGAAGGAGGCCTAAAGAGACGGGCTCTCAGATTTTCTTGCTACATTTAGCGACTTTTGGAAAAAAAGTAACCTGTTTGTAGTCTGAACACTGGAATAACCCGAGGGTGATCAATTGAGGAAATGCGTTTTTTTAGTTGGTTTTTTTTAGGCTCTCCAGTCACTTCCGTCTTTGCGGCTGACGGAGCGTCAGCGTCCCGATTGCAGTACAGGAATGAGTGACAGAGCAGGCAGACTGTAGGAACTACATGTCTACAAGGCACACAACAGCTAGCAGATGTCCGGTCTGTGTGAGGCCACATTTGTCTGCAGTGAGAAGAAAAGAAAACCCCACACGTCAACTGAACGCTCCGCTGTGCCTCAACGTGAGCTGTTGACTCTACGGTAATGATGCAAGTCAGGGCTAAACATAACAAACCATTAGCGTCCTCAGCATGCCGGCGATCTCGCTTCTGTGCTCCACAGACACTGGGAATGCAGATTAGTTGCCGAGTGCGAGGCACCGGCATGAAATAAATCCCGGCTCAATGATGTAATTATGAGCCACTGTAATAAACGGGTTCCTTAAAACTTCTGATTTGGACACAAAGCTGTGTTTTTTTATAGAGGCGTGAAATGGACGTGGTCTTCATACAGATAGGTGCTGATATTCAGTGGCTTTGCTTTTGACCGTCATGTCGTTTATCCTCAGCTTGATGGCAAAGACATCTGCAACATGCATTTAGTTATTTATCTCAACAATCATGTGACCTGTAAATGCTTGAAGCTCGGGATCATCATCCCTATAACGCTCTGAAAGGAAGGAAAGATGGTCTCGCAGAGCTGCAGGCATGTGAAAGCAGAAAAAAAAAGAAAAGAAAAGATAAACCCCTTTGGGACGGATGTGATTTCCCTCCGGCCGTTCCCAGTGAACCTTGAAAGAAAAACAAGAAGAAAAAGGGAGAAGACGAGAGAAATATGTGGCGACAGAGAAGAGAAAGACAGGATTAGCAGGAGGAGGCTGGAAGGAAAAGAAGAGAGAGACAGAGACAGGAAACAAGGGGAAGGAATGAATGGAGGTCTGGCTCTGCTCTGTCTTTATCAGAGGAAACAAGGGGACCCAAGGCCAGGCTTCATATGTCCACCTCTCCCTCTCTTCCTTTCTACATCTCTCCCTTTTGTCCTCCTTTCTTCCTCTCAAATTACTCGCAAAAACTGTTCCAAAATTTAAAACATGTTTAAGCAAATGACAGAAAAGGCCAACGCGTTAGGTGTGTGTGTGTCTCTCTCACCCTCACGTTGTGTCTTTGTCCTCAGACGTTAAAGTTTGCTGTGGTGTCTGGCTGCCTTTTGAAAGTCTGGTAGAAGTGAGACAATGTTCACCAAAGACCTTATTTTTCACACACACACACACACGCTTATGTGTGAAAACACACTCGCTCCCCTGACAGCGTTGCTGTTTGGGAGGGATGGGGGTGATTGATTAGTCTCTATGGAGACGATACGTTTTCTAATGAACAAGGGAAAGCTTGCATGCTAATTTGTGTCTCATGGAAAGGCTGGAGCGTGTGTGTGTGTGTGTGTGTGTGTGTGTGTGTGTGTGTGTGTGCGTGCGTTAGATTTGTTCCAGTGAACGATAATATATAAATATATATTTTTTGCCATCCAACTTTTCTATTTGTAGTATTTCTGAGCGGCTGAGGTGGAACACTGGCTGTACATGAAAGAGAAGTGCGATGAAAATAGACTTTGACTCGGTGATTAAATCGTGTCGTACACGAGGCGTGTGACCTCAACATTCACTGAAGAGACTAGAACAAGAGAGGCTGTAGCCGTCCTCAAATGAATACATGAAAGATCCGTAAATTCCACAGATCATGCTTTCTAAATGGTCTTCAGTTGTTTGAGGTTTGACTGACGCTCTCTAACTACGTCATCTCGTCCTGCGTCTCCTACAATGGTTGAATATAGGGGTCACCCCGACTAAGAATAAGGGGCATGTGTTTTGCGCCCTCAAATCGTCACAGCTGGCAGATGTTTTTTCTTTCTTCCGTAAGTATATGGAGGAGAAGTGAATGATTTTAGTGCAGGGCTATTTTACTTCACCCTCTTACGTCCAAGGATCTCACAACATCCGGTTCAAAAGGTCAGCCGACAAATGTTTGTTGTGTGTGTGTGTGTTTGTAGATGCGGCGCTGTCCAGAGTACTGAAACAGAGCAACAGACACGCTTTCTTACCCTGATTACTTTTCATTGTTGTAGATGGAACTTCTGGTCCTAATTCCATTTTTCTGTTTTGCCAAATTATCTAGCACTCTGATAGTGCTACATCCGTATGCGAGTCCTCTGATTAATAAACGCATTCTTTGATTTTGAAATGGTAGCCTTCTATTGCTGTATCAGCCAAGATGATCTTAGGCGACATGGTTTTATTACCGTTTTTTGTACTAAAATAGGCTAAACATCATCATTTTTTGGGAGAAACCAAGCAATTTTATGTCAAATCAGATTTGCAGCATCCCCGAATAACCAGAATTGAAGGATCCTTTGTCTCATAGCCACATCCCTCCACATCCAGAAACTTGGCTTGTAAAGATGCACGCACTAGATGTTATTTAGTGTGTGTGTGTGTGTGTGTGTGTGTGTGCATCTGCACAGTCTCCTTTCAGAGTTGTGTATATGGGTCTCTGTATGCTCGTGTGTGTGTGAAGTCGCCGCGGTAATTTAGATGCAGTCGATGATCTGTGTCACACGTCTATGCCGCACACCTCTGATGCGAACGCAGCTATCGCATGCTTTTAATGACATGCCTAATACCCCCCCCCCCCCCCCACACACACACACACACATATAAATCAAGCGTGACATATCAACATATCAGCGTGGTGATGTGCCTGTACCAGACACTTTGATCATGATATGCTAATCTGACCTATAATTTACTTCCTGTCATGTCTCTGTCATCTCCTCCAGTGTCCTGCCTCCCCCCCCCCCCAGCCCCCCTTGTCTTTACTCCTGCTCCGTTTGATTTACTCGTTGTATTGGCTTGTCTCTTATTAGAAACTACATTGCCAAAGCTGTATACAAAGGAATCAATATTAAAAACATTAGCAAGCAACTGTTCATCCATTCAAACCATGCTGAGATGCTTAATTGCTTGGTTTGACATCATGTACTATGAAATAATCAAAGGCTGGAATGGAGGGGAAGCCATTAATCACAGGAGCTAGAACTGTGTACCGGTTGGATTGTGCTGTTTGAATGAAAGACAAACATCACTGTGTCCCCATTTTCTATCAGTTTGCTTTTCAATAAAAAATTTTTTTTGTTTTAAGGGGAGGAAACTGAAGTGAATTTTTCCAGCGACTCCCATTCATTCATTTCGTTCCACTTCTCAGTAAATCTGCAGCGGCTTGGCTTCGCTCCAGCACTATAAAACGTCGACAGCCTCCTCCTCCTCCTTTAACAATTAATGTCAGTTCAAACGGGAAAAGGGATTGTTTTAAAAAGTGTTAATGCTTGAGCTAATGGCCGTCTCTTCCTCTTCCCCCCCCCCCATGCAGCCACTGCAGATAGACGACAACTTCTGCGGCCAGGACTTCAACCAGCCTCTAGGGGGCACCACCGCCATCGAGGGCATCCCGCTCTACGTGGACAAGGACGACGGCATGACCTCCGTGGCGGCCTACGACTACCGCGGGCACACCGTGGCGTTCACTGGCACCCGCGGTGGACGCATGAAGAAGGTAGGCATGCGTGTGTGTGTGAGTGTGTGTATGTGTGTGTGTGTTCCCATTGCTCTTTAGAGTTGATGCAGTATTGCCGTTTTGGTGCGAAAGCCTTGAAACTCCATTTTTGACGAGTCATGGCTGTATTAACTTGGCGTAAAGGATTAGAAGCTCTTCAAACAGACCAAATTCAATAAACATTCAATCCTGTTTGGCCCAGAAACTCTTTTCCAAGCCCGCAGCATATAGAAGATATCATAGTCCGCTCTGAAAGTTGTTTTTGTCATGTATGTTCTGGCGTTTCCCATTTTCTGCTCGTTGTGAACAATACATTACAGTAATAACCGACATAAAACTAACAAAATGTCACTGAAATAGGGATTCAAATGCTCCTGCCAGAGTAGAGAGTTTCTGTGTGTGTGTGTGTGTGTGTGTACAATGCTCTACAGAAAACCACTTTCACTCTGAAGCAATTTTGTGATGTATTTTCAATGGTCATTGGTTTTGACATTGCTGACAAATGGTTTTGTCATCAAATCTCATTGCAGACACACGCACATGTTTTTCTAAACATACCAAACAACACACATATATATGTTTGAAGGCAGCAGCTCTGGGGAGATGCACATTTTCTCCCACGGAGCGAGGCAGTGTGTGTGTGTGTGTGTGTGTGTGTGTGTGTAGAGCTGCTGCTGTTTGACGATGATTTCCTGTTTGTCCCCAGAGGTGAAGTAGATCTGTGTGTGTTTGCGCGCTCACGCTTGCAATGGTGGCCTTCATTACATTACAGTCATTTAGCAGACGCTTTTATCCAAAGCGACTTACAATTCAGAGTCTATCACATTTCTACACCGTAGGCACAGCTACGGGAGCAATTTTTGGGGTTAAGTGTCTTGCTCAAGGACACATCGACATGCGACTAGCGGAGCCGGGGTTCGAACCGCCTCTGATTGAAAGACGGCCCTGCTATCCACTTAGCCACAATCGCCCCTTCGACATCTCTCCTCAATCACAGGCAAGCGGTAATTTCCACTATGTTCAGTGTACACGCAGCATGCAGTGCTTTTGTGTGTGTGTGTGTGTACGCCAGTGGGTTTACAGTATGTGTGTGTGTGTGTGTGTGTGTACCCATGCTGAGTAGACCGCAGGGTGTGTGTGCCAATCAGCCGCTCCTTCATCTGAGATGCGACGGAGCCGCTTCTGTGTTTTTGTTCTCTTTTCATCCTTTGCAGGACATCTCCATACGAGAGTGTCACCAATAATCTGGAGACTGAATTAAAAGTCACCTGAGGATAAAAATAATTGCATAAATACATACGTAATAAAAAGATAGGAAGTTACATCCACATTTCACTGTCAGCTTCATTTGAAATTGAAAGTTTTAAAGACTATTTTAGGAACGCTTTCAAGTCATCTATCACTTTGTAAGTGCTTGTCTCATTGGTTTGGAAGTGTTTGTGTTTACATCGTCTGCCACTTTCTGTTCAAGCCGAAATGCGTTTGGAATATTCAGCTGCTACACTTTTTCGTACCAGTTTGACAGCTTAAGCGTTAAGGCCCCTGTGTTTCCGAAGCCGGAGAAACGTCTGCCGCAGTAATGCTGCTGTCAACTTCTTTTATATAGGCTATGATAATGTGCAAGCTCGCAGAGACACACACACACACACACACACACACACACATATGCCTCCTTACACGGCTTCCTGTCTCTGGTGTTTTGCTACGTCGACTGAAACCTGGCCCGCTAGTCCTTGTGCCTGACCCCTGTTCTGTGTCTACGTGTGCCGGCTTTGTTGAGCGTGTGTGTGTGTGTGTGGGGGGGGGGGGTGTCAGCAGATCCTGGATGATACCCCGCTGATCGGAATCCCATTTCCCCTCAGCCGGCATGCCTTCCTGTGCTCCGGAGACGGAGGGGAGGAAGGTGAGCGCGGAGGATGGAGGCCACCGGTGTCCGGGCGCAGATCAATGCAGATGCTGCAGTGTACGGGCAGGGGAAACAGCGGGACAGGACACCAATAACAATAAATCAGCACAATTACACCGTTCACGAGGCGTTTACATCCGCCGGTGCCTGGTTAAGTCTTTCCTCTGACACAGGATGCAATTCGTTTTTGCCTTTTAAAATGAGGTCTTTTCCAACTAAATTGGACAGCAACTCTTAAATGACTGAACTGGATTGCTACCAAAACAGAATTTTTGAGGGAGGCAAGAGGGAGGGGAGCTGGGATTAGAGAGACGCAGAGAGCGAGGCAGATGGGATGAGAGAGGGTTCCGGGCTGTGTGGTTTTTATTGCTATTCATTGGGAGTTAAACTGTGCTCCTTGGCCCTAATGAAATGTAAAGCTGCAGCGCGCTGGTGTCTGCACACACGCGCGCTCGCTCACGCTCATTAGAAATCCCACAATGTGACTGCTGCTGAGTGCGCGCCAGACTCCCCGTATCGATTGATCTATGAATATATAATCGTTAGTGTAAATCTTAAACCCAGGCAGTCCATTCGATAAGTGATGGTGTCTTCGTCTGGATATGTGGGTGAGAGAGAGAGCTGTGACATAAGCCAGGCTGCTGCTTTACATCAGCATGACTAATCAGAATGCCTTGACTGGCATGTAGTGCTAAATACCCTCCTAATGTCTCCATTACTGTTGGGTTTGTGTCTTTTCTTTCTGTGCAGGTTTTGACTGTGCGTGTAAGGACTAACACTGTTGTATGAAGTCGCCCTTGTAGACTGCATTTCTGACTTTGGGGTAAACACCAAATCAGCATTCTGTTAACAGGCTTTATTGGTTTAACGCGGCACAGCAGAGAACAGCTGATTGAGAGCCCGTGTCAAAATAAAGGCTAATTTTGTGATTTAATTGTGCAGGATAGTCTCTGTTAGGAGAAGGTCGCCATTACATTGAGTGACTAGTCTTAAGAAAGACGCAGACCGTTGACAGAATGCCGACGCTGTCTTCAAACTGATCTGGACGCAACATTTAGGATCTTATGGTGTAGATTATACGACGTGAGATGAAGGACACGTGGCAGGATGTGGATCCATGATATGAGTAGAGCTGGAGGAGTTAATGGAGGAATCGGTCGCTTCAATTTCAGTTTGGGACTTTTGAATAGACAAAGCCAGCAAATTGAAGAATGTTTCACATTTTAAATGACCAAACAGTTTATTTAGAAATAAATAGATGGATTGACAGCTACCCTGATAAATCTCTAGAAATAATTAAAAAAATTAGAGGCAACCCTGAACCTCAGCAAGTACTGCAGTGGATGCACAGCATGGATGCCGTACATGATGCTCTCTAGGGAGCTGAGATATAATGCTCCTTTCAAATGGGACTTATTTTCTGCGTCAGCAGTCAGGAACACACTGTTCTTGCATTTTAGTGGTTTAAAGAGAGACAAAAAACTCTTTATTGCAGTGACATGTAACAGTCACCGGTTAATGCTGAAACATAGTCATCATGTCATCAGGAGTCATCATGCTGAGCATGAAAGCTCTTTTGTCTCTACCTTAGAAACATAAATAAAAAGTGATCTTAAAGGGGCCAGCGTGTAGGAGTTAGCGGCATCTGGTGGTGTAAGTGAAATACGGTCGCTGAGGAGAAGATGCAATTAGCCCTATGGAGAGCCAGTGCTTGGTTTGTCTATTCTGGGCTACTGTACAAACATGGCCGCCAGCTCCGTGAGTAATATAAACGGCTTATTCTAACGTAACGAAAACGTCAAGGGGGCCAAGAAAACATACATTATATTCCTTTTCTGCCAATACATCCCCCACTCTGGACGTTTAACTCGAGCTCCATTTGCTTGCACTTTTGGAAATCAGATCCAGTCGAGAGCTCTGGAAAAAGCTAAAAGTATTGTTATTGTTGTAAATGATTATACAGCACTTTGTGCGGTATCTTAAAGTTGGCTACCATGAGCTAACAATAGCCTTAATGAGCTACAAGTCATAACAGAGGCCGCAAACTCCTTGAGTGTATCGCTATGGGGAAGGCATCGTCAATTGTTGGACGTAGAGTGCAGAATCAAAGAAACAAAAGAAACTGAAGGCTTAAAGACATGCTAGAATGTATGACGCAAGACTTAGGGTTGCAAGATGAAAGACGTGAGACAGAGGGTGTCTAAGGTTAGATGAAGGATGTACACTAGGATGTAGGACATAAGAGATGCAGTGTGGGTATTTGGTGTAGGGAACAGTTACAGCCTTGTCACACAGAACGGGCCTCCTCTCTCCGAGTGAAAACGGCTGCCAGCCAGCAGCAGCATACGTCTGCATTATATACTGTTGTTCTTTGCTCAGCGCTTCAAAGTCGAACATCTTTCTTTTAAAAAAAACCCCCACAGTGCATCACTTTGTAGGGAGACACGGGAGTAGGTGGCGGACCAATAGCTCTTAACAGCATGAAATTGCACCATGAGCTGCCTTCTGTGCCGTTTGCCTGAAACAAAAAACAAAAACCTCCTCAGATCTCGATAAAAACCTGGAAATCCTTTCATTCCTCTCATTCCGTCGCGTCTTTTGTCTACCTGGAGAGAACAAGGCGCTCTCACCACATCAGGCGAGATGAAGAGGAACTCTCAACAGCCTCAAGTATTTCCACATACACGAGACAAAAAGACGCAAGCAACGAAGTCAGAGAGAGTTAGAGGAGGGGGGGTTACTCAGTAGTGTATAGGTGTGTGAATGTGTGTGTGTGTGTGTGGGGGGGGGGGGGTTTCATTGTCATTTCATCATTTCCCTGCGAGCAGCAAATCCAATTACTTTTCCTTCTCTATCTCGGAAGATGGTCTGAGTGACAGGACCGATTTGGTGCGGCGCTACCGCTCCAACTGGGTTGATTGACGGAGCGCTGGCACTTCACCGTCGTGAGACACGGAGACAAGTGAGGGACCGATTAGACTTCGGGGCACCTCGGAGCCAGCGAGGTGGACCAGAAGTTCACCGGCCCCGCTCCTTCGATCGCACGGCTGTCCCACTCAGAGATGATCTGATTTGCCTTTTTTTTTGGCAAGTT